TTGTCACAAATACTGGGAGTGGGGTGCTGTTTACATCTGGTGGATGAAGGCCAGAGATAATAAATCCTCACAGGGAATCACTTCATTATGGCCAAGACTCAGTCTCTCCAGAACACCAGATGCCAAGAGGTATATTCTTGGCCTTATACCATCCAACTATAAGCATCTCTTTGCCCAAAGGCTTTTATTGGCAATGAGGGGCTTCTCTGCCCATGATCACAGCAGCCCAGAAATGCCAATAATTGTGACCCCCTTTCTTCCATTCCCTCCAGGCAACTGATGACCCATGGAAGTTGGTGTATTCACTGGCTAGCTCCCTAGCTTTTTGAGTGGGATAATTTGGTGTGCTGGCTCCAGAGTTCTGCAGTGGAGCTGTGTTCTAGTCATGCACCTGAGGAGAGTGCTTGGTAACACATCCTGCATTAGCTGTCTTGGTAACATATCCTGCATCAGCTGTCTAGGTAACACATCCTGCATCAGCGCTCTTGGTAACACATCCTGCATTAGTTGTCTTTCTTTCTCTGATTCATTTCCTCACTGATCAACATTTTCTCAATCACCCTGCAAATAAATTACTTGTACTAAATTCCTGTCTCATGTTCTGCTTCTGTGGGAACCCAAACTAAGACTCTGTAAGACTCTTGTTTCCCCAACACCTATCGTGGTGCTTGGCACATAGGATTATATTTACAGCACACATGCACATATATATATGCCAGACATGGTATAATTATATAAATGTCCATAAGATATAACTACATAATTCTGCCACTTATATATGGCAGAGTACTACTCACACATTTAAAAGCCTCAATGGGAAGATGTGAAGGTGGAGGTGGAGATAAGAGAAAGTTGTTTAAGGGCTCTGTTTGTACGTACAATAAAGCAGCTTTAGGTTATTCTTTTAGCACTGGATGGTATTGCTAAAGAGGCACATTTCTCTCTACCACTTTGGCTTTGTAGAGATCCCATTGCAATTTCTCCAAAGCACGAGTGTAGGTAAAAAACATCAGTTTGAATTGAATCAACCCCAAGTTTCAAAATCTTTGTGTCATCCTAGGTTGAAATCACTTCATGATCAACAACACAGGAGGCTACTATGATTTATTAGTGTCTTCTACAGATTTATTTGTATGTAGTGTTGAGATGAGTCAGGGAAGACGTAAAGGGCAAGAGGAAGGCATATTTGAAGGCTGACATGGTGTTTGAAAAAACAGATGATACTTAAAGGAGAATGGATGGTTAGTAGCATCATTTAGAGAAGGGAGCAAAAATCATGTCCTGTATTTTAAAAAGAAATTCACATAAGTCAGGAAGACCAAGTGCATACACCCATTCCTGGGGTCCTCTGATGGTGAAGCTAGCACCAGAAACTACTGCTCTGAATGCCATGGTTCCAATACTAAACATGAGAATGCCATTGCAAAAAAAAAAAAAAAATCATATCTTTACAACCTCCCTCACTACCCAGGGCCCAGAGGGTAGGAAGAAGATCTCTGTTAATTTCTACCCTCTGAATCTGTGTAAGGGCATCAGTGGGGTGGCTAGCAAGTCAGAAAGCACAGACAGGCACACAATAAATGGTCTAATTACATTACAATGAAGGGTAAAATAACACTGTGTTTCCAGACTTTTTCTTTCCCTTCCAATGGTCAGGGTTAAAAATTTTGAATATTCTTCTGAAGAAGCGGGAATGCTACATCAGACAAGCTTACTGAAAAATGCTGCTCTGAGGGATGATATCTGAGGTGAGTTCTGAGCCCAGGAGTGGAATAGTAGGACTCTACTACTTTGCTGGTGGGGGTATCAACTGAACAGCTCTTCTGGAAGACAAAAATGTAGTAAGACATGTAAAAACTTTCATCTCCCCAAACATCTCTTATAGGAAATGATCCTAGGAATAATCCTAAACGTGGTGAAAGCTTTTTACATAAAGAAATGTTTATCATAGTATTGCAATAGGGAGGATTTGAAATACCCTAAACAGCTAACAGTAGAAAAATGATCCTAAGAGCTGTGGTATATCAAAAGAGCAGGGTTCCCCTATCTTGGCACTATTGACATTTCATGGTGGGTTATGTCCTGTGCTTTGTGGAATGTGCAGCCCCATCTTTGGCTTCTACACAGGACTTGCTGGCAGCACGCCCATCCTCCTGCCTAGTCATGATGATCAAAAATGTCTCCAGTCATTGTCAAATGTTCCTTGTGGGGGGTGCAATATTGTTCCCAGTTTAAAATTACTATACTGGATAGAAATATTATATAGCCTTGACAATGACAGGACTATAGAGTATGTATAATAAAAACATCTATATAACAATACAAAGAAGAGAATAAAAACGTATTCCCCATGAGGCCACAATTATGTAATAAAACAACATACGGATAATAGCTGTGGATGCATTTAAACAATAAATGAAATTTTGGTAATGGACAGAAATAATTAGGTGAGAAGCGCTTGACTGAATTTCCTGGCTTCATTTAATTTCCTTGTCTCATAATTGACTGTTTTCTCAGAGTTAAGGTCAAGAAATGGGGAAAAATTGCTGTTTCTGATTTTCTTTTTAATTTGTTTCAGAACGTATTTATTTAAAATGTGTGTAAACATGCCTAACTATCATGCATGGTATTTCATAATTATTTTCTCTTGGACAACGCTGTGTAAGAACATCACTAATAACATTAAAGGGAAGAAAAAATTCTGTACTGCCTCAAAGGCTATTTGTTCCTGGGACAAAGAACAAGGGAAAAATAGACAAAATAATTATGGCAACATGTACGATTGGCTCAGGCCAGCTTATGATTAGACATTGCGGGTAGTGATAAATCAAAATCGTTAAAACAAGAGGATAAGGAGATGAGGTTAGAATAGCAACCAAGGAATTTACAATTAACCTTCTGTCCTTCCTCCCCAGGAGGATGAGAAAAAAGTATATTAATTATGTTTGTACCTTTGTAGAGAGGTGCTTCTCAACATTTTGGAATTTGTGGCATGCTACTGTTTGTTGACGTTTTTCTGGGGAGGGGTCTACTCCATATTTCTCATAATTCCTTGCTTTAAAGGAAAGCTCTCAGTATAAGGACAGCTAATCAATTTTAGCTTTAAGAACTTGGTGAAAATTTCCTGATATTGCTTGAGGAATCTATAGGCTCCCAGAAGCATTGTTGCTATAGAGCAGTGGTTCTCAAACTACAGCAAGTATTCGATTTCTGGGCCCTATGTTTAAGAGTTTCTGATACAGTAGGTCTGGGATCAGAATCGAGAATTTGCATTTCTATCAAGTTTCCAGGTTTTGCTTCTGGTCTGGGAAACATACTTTGAGAACATGGTTTAAACAAAGCTTCACAGCCTTGCTGTGCTGGGGCCTGAGCTGGGCATTCTTGCAGATCAGTGCTTTCCTTAGTTTGTTTTTGCTTTTGAATTCAATACTTACTTATTATGATGTATTTGAGGTTTATCAGTAGCTCATGCTTTTAAAAAAATTTTCAAATAAATATGAGGGTACAAACTTTTAGGTCATATTGTTTTCACTACTAAGGTAAAGTTCAAGTTGTAGTGGAGCCCTTCACCAACAGGCATGCTGAACACCCTCACACTGTGCACATTAGGTGAGATCCTGCCAATTGCAAACACTAAAATAGCATCAATTATGCAAAATATTCCGAAAAAGAAAACCCAGGACCAGATGATTTTCCCCAAAACTTCAAAGAGGAACTAGTATCTATATTACATAATCTATTCTAAAACATAGAGAAGGAAGGAATCCTCCCCAAAATGTTCTATGAAGCAAACACTCTGATTGCAAAACCAAGAAAGGACCCAACAAAAAAAGAAAACTGTAGGCCAATATTATTAATGAATAGTGATACAAAAATATTCAACAAGATCCCAGCAAACAGAATACAGCAACACATTAAAAAAAGTTGTACGCCACGATCAAGTAGGTTTTATCCCAGTGATGCAAGGTTGGTTCAACATACATAAATCCATAAATGTAATTTACCACATAAATAAAATTAAAAACAGAGACCATCTAATTCTCTCAATTGATGCAGAAAAGGCTTTTGACAATATCCAGCATCCTTTTTTGATAAGAACACTTGAGAAAATAGTACACTCCTTAATAGCAGAGTTAGTCTCCTGCCTTCTTAGGCAGTACGATGAAACACTCCTGGTGAGGCAGGCGACTGCTTCAAGTATTACAGTCTACCTGTTGCTGATGATTCTGTTTTCCCGAACTTCAGTTCCACAGAGCTCCTGGATCCTGACAATTTACCTTAACATGGGAATGCTAACCTTTCCCCTATCTGGGATTTATGACCTTCCTGGTTCTCTATTCTCCCTGTTTCCAACTTCCTATTTAGTCTGACCTTTGTTTACATTGGATCTCTGCCTAGTGAATCTGCCTACTTCTAATTCTCAGCTTATTTCTAAACCAAAGGTTCCCAACATTTCTTGGTACATCCTGCTCTTAGTTTCTCAGTAACATTTTCCCAATTCCCTGTCTTTGGCCATTGGGCTGCTGTAATAAAATACTATAATTTGGGTGGCTTATGAGCAAAAGGAATTTATTAATATTTCTCACTATTTGGAGGCTGAAAGTCTAAGATCAAGGTGCTGGCAGATTCTATGCCTGGTAAAGGATTGCTTTCTTACAGATGACTGTCTTGTAATTGTAATCTCACAGAGAGAGGGCTCTTTCTCAGGTCTCTCTGTGTTTTGTTTTCATTTTTGTTTTGTTGTTGTTTAGAGACAGAAAGTCACTATGTTGTTCAGGCTGGTCTTAAACTCTTGGCCTCAAATGATTTTCCTCCCTCAACCTCCCAAATCATAACTCTATATACTGTCTTCCTCCCTCCCTCCTTCCTTCCCTTTCTTCCTTCCCTTCCTCCCTCCATCTTTCCTTCCTTTTTTCTTTCTTTTCCTTTTAGCTTCCATCATCCCAGTAGGACCACGCCCATAATCTTCTGCCCAACACTCCACAAGCAACCACAAATTGATGACAATATTTATATTTATTTCTGCAATTCCTTGGATAAAAACCATTTGAACAATGTTTGGTAAGGTGTTATTCTCATAAAAACATCTTTCAAAATGAAGGTATTTCTATTTCTCACAAAAGTTAAAATTACATGCTGCAATAGAGTTAATCACTTAGATAACACAAGACAATAGCCGAAGACTTGAGTAAGAATGGAGAGTTACACCATTAAACTAAACAATTACACAGAACTAGAAAACTGACTCAGTAGTAAAATATAAAATCTACAATTATAAATATAAATTTGGTCCATGGAGACACTAGAGCAGTATTTACAGTAAGTATCAGATTATTTCTACGTTCAGGGAATACTACAGTTGTAAAATGTTGCATGTATAGGGGGACAGTGTTTTATTTACAGTCAACTATATTAAAAGTTATATTTCTAGCAAACCTGATGATTGCTACAAAGGCAGCTAAAAATTTGACACTAAAAACAAATATTTTGTGTAGTTGGGTATTCCTAATATCTACAAATTGAAATTTCCTGTTAAAGTCAATACAGAAAAAAAAAAAAACCTCACAAGTCCATTCTTAGAAATACTGTAAAATTCAATCATTTTAGTTCAAACATAATAAGTGAATTACAAGAAGTCTTGCTTAAAGGCACACATTGTTAATGATGTAAATTTGGCAGCAGAATCCTACGTCGTGTAAGATAGTTACTGTCAGGTGATGGGAAGTAAACAAATAACAGAACTAGACTGATTTCCTGTCTAAGTTTAGAAGGAGGGAAACAATGCTCAGGTGGGGGCTCCCGCATCCCTGTCAGTGTTACACTAAAGACTCCAAACTCTCAGCTATGTTTCCATCCGCTAATGCTGCACCGTTACTGTCCAGAGAGGTGGATGGATTCTCTTCCTGCCTCGTGCTCACAAGGCTGAGGACCACTTTGTAGAGAAACTGATACTGCTCCTGGGGAAACAGAAAATGGGAGGTCATGCAGAGGAAGCCTGGTGAAAACACACATTGGAGAAAGAAGGAATCTTTTTAGACACACTTCGGTACTATTCATGAAGAGCATTATGTTCAGGGCTTGGTTATTCGCAACAGAGGTACACCATCTATGCTAATGTCTCCTTCCCATTAAATTAAAGTGACTTTTCAATTGCAGAGTATTCATTGACGGAGACTATTGCCCACATATATTTACCAATGATAAGCACTTCATTCTTATTTATTTACTCCATGGAATCAGATAGTGACGTGACAGGGTTTTGTTAGCTTGTAGAGAAACCCTCTGACACTAGGAACCTGTAATTTATTAAAAATAAGTTTCTTACTCTTTCTCTGTTGTTCTGAAATCCACCAGGTCTGTGTATTTATGGAGAGGTCTCAGAAATGACAGTACCATCAGCCCAGGGACCCAAGGAGAGTGTAATCCTTTCCCAAGACCCACTGTTTATCAAGAAGAATGTCACAGTCTCTGAGTCTGTCTGGTCCTATGTTCTGCTTTGGTGAGCAGGTGTACTGCCATGATCTCAGGGTAGTAGACATTGAAAAATGATGCAATTTTTCTCTTACAGGTGCCATTCCAGGTGGTTTAAGGACAGGCATCTGTATAGAACTTGAGCCAGCTATTAGTACCATAGTGGAAAACCATTAGGACCACATGGGACCTAGGGCATCATCACATGTATCTGTGAAATGTGCATCTCCAGAAAGATATTTCACATAGGACAAGCTTGACACAACACAGCTGGCCTGAATGAGAATTTTAATATGATCTCCTCTGAAATGCGTATGTACAAGGATTACCTTGACCTTCTACCAATTGGTTTGGGCTAGAATGTTGAAGATGGACCCTATACATATATACACACACAGACCAAGGAGTGGAAGGTGAGCCTATGACTTCTACATTCACCTAAGCTTCCCTTGTTGCTACATTTATACTACGTTCCCTATTGTGTAAAAAGGAGCACATGAAATTAAAAGTTTTTTAAGCCATCCATTCTTTGGAATATAAACTTTAAATATTTATTGTCTGTTGTTTTAGTTGGAAGGGCTTGTCATTCCGCTTGGAACTACATGTCATTGTTGTCAGTCAATGTGATCTTTCTTGATCTGTGATAGAGTAGTCTCCAGGAAGGAAGCAATACCCTAACCATGAAAAGTTTGGTTCACTGCTTTGTTACTTACAATATCGGCAAAGACTCCTGGCCTCATCAAATTGATCATCTTGGCTACCTGGTAAACATCAATGGAATTTTCTTTTTCCAGTTGGTGCATAAGGGTTGTCAGAGCACAGAAAGTGCCTGCTGTCACTCCTCCATGCCTTGTAGCAAAGGAAAGGGACAAAGACTCCATTCAGATGCATCAAATAGTCACATTTGGAATTCACAGAGAATTGATAACTTTGCAGTAAAAACATGAAAATTTTAATCAATGTTTCTTTTTGTTTTAGGCATAGAATTATGGTTTCATTTGAAACATTGGCAAGTGTTCATATTAATAAAGGGTATGCTTTAAAAAAGTTTAATATTTGCTTGTTTTTTATACTACGAAAGGGGCTGACAGTAAATAACGATCTGACCAAGATTATAATGTACACACACGTATAAGTATCATATATAATGTGTATATAATTCCAGCATACACATTTTTTATTTTTTTATCATAGCAATTTCACTCTTTCCCAGGAAGGGATGACTGAAAAATATCTCTTTTGATTAGTTCCTCTAAAATTCCAGTGCTCAAACACTGACTCATCATGCAAAGTATTCCCAGGATAAAATAAAAGACTAGATTCTTATGATCATGAACCCATCTTCAGCTTTCAACAAGAGCTTCACATGAAGTGAAAAAATAATGGTCTGTGTTAAGTTTGCTGATAACAAGCTAATAATCCCCATGGCTGAATCATCAGAGCTGGTGCCGAGCATTAGGTTAGTCTGAACACAGTAGATATATACATACACCCAAGAGACTGCTCAGTTGTAAAGCAATTTAACAAGAAGAACTTACTCATCATGAACAATCACGGGTCCATCCCTGTTGGCAGCTTCATCTTTGATAATACTTATAAGTTCAAAAGTTTTACTAATGGGACTATCTGGATTTGGCCATTTGGGACACTGAAAATGCCTCACTTCAAGTACATAATCATCCTGTTAGAAAAAAGAAAACAATATTTTTAAAAGAGTAATGTTGGTCAGTGACACTTTCTCAAGAGTGGAAAACTATGAATTACTGTAAGGTAATGACACTGAGTGGCGTGAGCAAGTGAGCAGCAGTACTATCAGCATGTCTGTGCTGAGAGCAGAAAGCAGAAATAGTGATGCAAAGGTTTACTCAGTAGCACCAGAAAGTGCAACTTCTTTTTTTATTCTAAAAATAAACCTTACGTGTGGGCATATCATGTCAATGCAAATCAACCATGAAACATCGAAAGATGGTACCAAAGATGTATCTGAACTGTTAAATTCAAATTAAAAACTGAATCTTCAGTGTTAAAATTTGTTCTGAAAATAGCATAAACCTCTTTAAAGGCCATCAGTCCCCAAGCTTGCCTCAGGGAAGACTGAGATGGCATAATACAGTGGGAAAAACGCTGGCAAGGAAATGGAGGTCTAGGTTCCACTTCTGATCTTGCTTAAGTGACTAAGCAGACACCATGAATTATGTCTCTTAAACCTGATTCATAATGTGTGTTCAATAAATGCCAAAAAAGTAGCAAAACCTAAATTTTATATGGAGTGCAAAAGACCCAAACAGTGAAGATATTCCTAAAGAAGACAAATAAAACAGGGAGTTAGTTCATCAGATGTCAGTAATTATTACAAACTTTAAGAATTCAGATCCTACTGTTTTGGCAGGGGGTAGACACAGAGACCAGTGGAATAAAATAAAGATCCTAGAAACAAGCCTACACATAGACAGAAACTGGATTCACGAAGGAACCGATACTGCTGCTCTATATGATGCTGCGACAATGGGTATTACACGGAAAATAATGAAACTGCACCCATGTCTCACAAAATATGATACAAAAAAAATTCTAGGTGGAACAAAAAAACATTTAGAAAACAATGTAGGAGAGTATCTTCACAATTTCACGGTAAGGAAGGAATTGTTTAAAGATAATACATGATGGGTTTCTTATAAAGGCCAAAAAGTAAAAGATTAATAAATTCATATAGTCAGACTTTAAAGCTTTTATTTACCAGAAAAGATCACAAAAAAGGTAAAAAAGCCAAATTCCAAACTGGGAGAAGGTATGTGCAACATTTTCAGTTGACAAAGATTAGTATCCAGAATATCAAAGGACTTTTGGTATATCAGTAAGTAAATGATACATAACCTAATAGGAAAATGGGCAAAAACCATGAACAGATACATCATAAAAGATGAAATCTAAATAGCCAATACATTTACGTGAAGATACTCAACTTCATTTTTAACAATTAGAATGCAAATTGAAACCCCCATGAGATGTCACCTCATTCCCATCACAAGCACCAGGGAAGATGGAGAGATTCCAAATCACTTCTACTCTGCGGATGGGAGGCTAGCTTGGTAGAACCACTCTGTGGTTGAATAATGTTAATATGCTTATACACAATGATCCAGCGTTTACCCCAGAGAAAATTTTGCATGTGTCTGAACATACTCATATCAGCAGTGTTAGTAATAACAACAACAACAAAAAAGAAATAAATAAGGAAAAACTCAAATGTACAATAGAAATAGTATATTTATAATCTGAATGCTGAGCAGCACAAATAAATGATTTTGAACTCTGTCCAACCACATGCGTAAATCTCAGCAGAATAATAATGAGGGAAGTAGCAAATTTCTAAATAATATACATGTCATTATTTATATAAAGTTCAAAAGTGAACAGAATAGCATTCAGGAAAACAAAGGCAAAAGGTAAAATTATAAAGTAAACCCAGAAAGCAATAAACACCAACTCCAGAAGAGGCCACATCTGAATAGAGGAGAAAAGAGAATGGAATAGGAAGCCCAGGAAAGACTTCAAACATACAGGTTTTCTTGAACGCAGTGGTGGGTACTCAGTAATTTATTGTTACCATTTTATATCTGACACATATTTTATTCATTTTTTATATATTTAATACATATTCAAAATAGCCCTCATAAACAAATAAAGCCTTACCTTTTGAGTTCAGCAGCTAAAACCTAACTTCCTAGATACTATGAAATAAATCCCAATCTATGAAATGTTGTGAGATTTGGGGGAAAGCACCTATAATGTGTGAAGTTCATGGAATCCCTCATGTTGGTCTTTCTTTCTTTCTGGGCCATTGTTTTAGAAACACTGCCAACCTCTGGGTCAGGCTCCTGGGTAACCAAAGTGTCCAGCACAGCTGATTTACATAGATGAGACATGCCAAATTGGGATCAACCATGAATGTGTATTTTCTGGTTTGTTTTGTGCATAATACCAAGGAAAAAGCTATGCTGGTTTCCCAAGGCCAAGTTAAGATATGAGGCATGGTCAGTGATGAGGATAGTGGGCATGACAAGATAATATCTAATGATTATTACTTGTGTAATAATTATTTTACTAACTGGGACCAATGGGAGGAAGGCACGAGATATGGTAGATCTGAATGGGGGCTTTTAAAGTATTCAGGAAAACAATGGTCAGTGGACTATTAAGACCTCTCAGGGACCTCAGAGTTCTAGCTCCTGCCCCTCATTATACAAACTTGTAAGGAATGTAAGTTCACTCTCAGCATTGTAAGGAATGTAAATTCACTGCAGCATTGTTCATGAGTGCAACTGGAGTCAACAGTTTTTGGTTTAATCAAGCAGAATATGATTCAATTGGCACACTGATTACATTATTAATGTATTTATATTATCAAAGTTTATAAGTTTTGGTCATTCAAATATTCTAGAAAACAGAGAATTATCTTATATACTCTTAAAATATGTGATTTGCCAGTTTCAGAATCAGGGTAAAGTAAAACATTTAAACCACCTAAAACATGATTTAATCTTTTTCTGATTGATAAGGTGCTCTGAATCCACATGCCTTAGTCATCAATATTAGGATCTCATAATATTTTACTACAGATCTATGTTTTATTGACAAAGATTTGATAATAAATATCTTGTATATAACCAAGAGCTTAATAAAACAATGTTATCTTGTAGCTAACGGTAGTACTTTTTACATAATGAAGAGCTTAGTAAAACAATCCTAGCTGATCGTCCTGAATGTTTTGGAAGCACTTTTCACTTGTCAACTGTCACTACTCTTACCACTCATCAACTCTCTCCTTGGTAGGGAGCTGTCAGCTCCAGCAGCTAGTGTTTTCCCACTTCCCTTAAGAGACTACAAGGTAAGGGCGTGCATTATAAAAATAAGAATTAACAACATTATTTTTTATTGTGTTTATTTTCAAACTAAATTCTGTAAGTCACTAGCTTGGAATAAAAGAGAAATCTTCGATTTTCTGTGAGTGAAGAATTGAGAAATGGTGTAATCTAGTGATGACTAATTGTGTAATGATTCTGTAAGATTTTGAAAATGATAGTGACAAGGAAAGTAATATTGATTAATTTGTCACAATTTGGGAAAAAAAATCAGAATCCTTTTTATTTTTAGGAAAGATTCTTAAGTGAGCATATGTTTAACACATGTTTCAGATGAAAGTTTGTGAACTTATATGCTTACCTGTGTAGCTTCTAAGATGAAGTCTTGAATTATAAGTTTTTCCTCATTAGATAGACATTTGTGTTCTTCAGCCATAAGGGTGACCTTAAAGCTCTCACAATTTATAGGCTCATCTTTATTGGGCCAGTAAACAAATTCATCTTCTGCCTGGAGGATTAAAAACCAGAGTCTAGATTTTAATAAAATGCCTAATAAGTCAGATTGTGAAATACAGTTCATTGATTGGCACAGAAATTTCAATTTGAATTTTTCTTTGAATCTGATAATTCGTTCTAAAAGTCTTCCTGGTGTCTTCCGCCAGACTGATGTGCAGAGTAAAATATTACGCTAAACCTTCAACTTATTATCTTGTTGTTTTGGACTCTCAACTCTCTCAGTAACAGTGGTAAGCTTGTTCTTTCTATACTGACAACCAAGTGGAGGCGATTCAGTTCATTTTAAGAGTTGAGCAATTTCTAGCCTCATTTAGAATGGTGGCTATAACTTTGTAAAGAATAACTGAATATATAAAAAAAGAATAACTGAATAGCAAAGTATATATGTAAAGACTAAATGAAACATTAATTTTATTTTACTTTTCAGGTTCCCAAAACACATATAAAAAGGAGACTGTATACCAGAGGTTCTCAACCTGTGGATCGCAACCCACAGGAACTGTATTAAAGTGCTGCAGCCTTAGGAAGGTTGAGAACCACTGCTGTATACCCTTTATTTTTGATACTAAAAAGTCGTTCGTATACTAAGAGTCATCCAAGTGGCTTGTTTAATTTCATAATTTCTAGGGACCTCATTAAACTAAAGGAATCTCCAAATATCTTAACATTATTTAAAAAATGTAAACAGAAATGTATAGAATGACTTCATTGAAAGTTGTAATCCTAATTTTCTTAAGCGATGTTACAAAATGCATACCTTTAAATTAATCTACTTTCATTTAAAGCTGTCATTCATTACTCTGATCTAGGATACTGTATAACTAAACCATGCTCAATAGCAGATGAAGTATGACCCATTGTATTAGGTAATTAGTTGAAAACAAAATTACTTCGCTTGCTTGTATGCTGGAATTTTGACTGCTATAACCTGATATTTCCCCTGTATAGAAAACACTAACAGTGACCTAAAAGATTTACCATGTTTTGGCCATCAGGAATCATAACCACCAGCTGGGCATTATGGTCCCATATCATCCTCCAGAAATCCTTGATGGTATGGAGAAGGGGGTGCTGGGTGATGATGAATTCATTGCTCTGGTAATAACCCTACAAAACCAAGGAGAATATAAAGGCTTATGCCTTTAAACATTCAGATAAATATTTATGATAATGAACTTTAAGTCAAAGTAGTCTTTTAAATTGCAGATTGTGTCAATGCATAAGAATTGCATTCTTACAGCCAATGATCATGGGCCACTTGCAGGATGCTGGGTATAGCACTAAGTATTTTCTTCCTCAAGTCATTTATTCCTCATTGCAATACCATGAGATTAGAACTGATATCTGCCCACCCTTGCCATTTTATAGATTACTAAACTGAGGCTTCAGAACCTAAATGTTGTGCCCAGGCTTACCTTACTATACTTAAGTATAGTACTCGAGGTTACCTGTCATCGCGTAGTGGATGCTTATAAATTTTACGTTACCTTTTAACTGTAAGTTGAACTTTCTCTTACAGAAGGAGGGCTCATCCTTGACGCAGTTTCCAGTTCTATACCCTCTAGCCCCAGTTCCTTCCTTAATGTGGTCAACCCAGATATCCGCCTTGAAAAGGTCCCTGATGACCACTTTGCTCTGGAACAGTTGGAAGCATCCTGCATGGCTGGCCCCAGGACCCTCACATCCATGTGCAGATACACCACAGTGACTAACTCTGAGTCGCTACATGACCTCCCGGGATTAAGCCTACGTGTTTTATTCTATTTTATTTTTTGATACAAAAGCCTTTAGTGATGTGACTCCTGTTTTCCTTTTTCAAAATTTCAAATTAATATAAGGGTACAAATTTTTAGGTTACAATGTTCTCACTTCCAAGGTAAAGTTCAAGTTGTAGAAGAACCCTTCACAGAAGGGGTTGTGCAGAATACACTTGTGTTGTGTACATTAAGTGAGATCCCGCCAAATGCCCTCCTCTCTCCCTCCTCACGCCTCCCCCTTGCTAGACTGTCTTTGTGTTTTATTACCCTTATGAGCATCTATTTGTTTATATATTGGTTTCATACTAGTGTTGAGTACACAGGATTTTTTTTTCTTCCATTCTTGAGATACTTTAGTAGGAAGAGTATGTTTCAACTCCATCCAGGTAAACATAATAGATGTAAAGCCTTTTGCTTTTAAACGCACCAATTAAAACTCTCCTGAGAAATCTGTTTGGAAAACATGGGACTCAGTAAAAGCCTTGGCCCAGAGTCCTTTTCTCTTTCTCCCACCTGGTACCCTCAAAGCCCTGTGTGTGGCCTCCCAGAGAACCCTGTACTCTCCAGGGTCTGTAAATATTTAAGACTCTTAAACTTTCACATTGTAGTTGCAGCTTTGGAGACAAGGCTGCAATCTGATCCCTGAAGGTGAGATGGCCCTGAGGATGCATGCAGGTGGATTCCCTGATGGCTGGAGTTCTTTTGTACCAGCAAAATTGAAAGGGAAACTCAAAAGAGTCTGATTCACGACACACTTCTAAAGGCCTGCAAGGTGGCTCAAGCCTGCAATCTTAGCACTCTGGGAGGTCAAGGCCGGTAGATTGCTTGAGTTCAGAAGTTAGACACCAGCCTGAGCAAGAGTGAGATCTTGTCTCTTAAAGAAAAAAATAATAGCAAGATGCTGTGGCAGGTGCTTGTAGTCCCACCTACTCATTTGAGGTTGCTGTGAGCTATGATAACACAGCACTCTACTGAGGGCAACAAAGTGAGACTCTGTCCCTAAATAAATAAATAAAAATAAATAAATAAATAAATAACAATAAACAAATAAAAAAAGAATGCACCTCTAGAAGCAGACTTACCCAAATACCTGGTGGAAAGTATCTTCCACATTAGGGTGGAAATCTACAGGGGTGTTTATATTTCTCACTCTCCACAAGTCCCAGTGGCAGAAAACCAACCACACGTCTACTCACAACAGGACACTTTGGTGTCCGGGAACCTTGGTTGTCTCTACAAAAGCAGAGCCAGGGACGCCCCTTACAGATTTTGCTGCAGAAACGTGGAGTCTAGCGCCACTGGATTAATCATGATTCCCATGTTGTGACTTACTCAGATCATGGCTCTCCTTGACTCTTCCGCTTTTAATCTCCTTCCTAACCCCCACAGGCTTATTTGAAGGGTGAAATGTTTATAGACCCCACGACCACACATCTCCCTGCTTTTTGCATGGATATTCCTCAATATTCCCTTTGCTGGACAAACAGAGCAGAGATTTTGGAATAGGAATTAGTAGCTTTTCATATGAAGTCAGGCTTTGTGATTGATTGACGTGAAAATGATACTGAAGGTCACATAACAGGCACTAAAGCACTATCCCTCACACAGAAATTCTAAATACAGAATGAAAGGGTTGTATCTCTAGATATCCAAGTCCCCAGTGAGTCCAGTTTGCAGGGCAAACCTGCAGTGATAATCTCAGTGAGAATGAGCTTCCCTGAGGCCAGTGTATCCTGAGTTTGCGCAGGGGCTCTGCCTTGGTAAGTGAAATGAAGCCTCTTACATGGGCAAGTATACCTTTTGTATCTATTCATCAGCCCTGAATGGTGAGTGTGGGTTTCTGCATTTACTCATGGGTCATACTTGAGGTTTCTTCAGATCCAGCACAGATAAAAGCCTCAAGAAATGCGGCTTTTGTTACTGAGGGCAACTCTGGCAGTTGTCAGATTTGGCTTATATTTATGAATGGTGCTGCCCATATCTACAGTCTCTTCTTCAGGCTGCCCATTCTGGTTGTGATTCTCCTAACACAAAACGGCAGGCGGTCTCCCCAGTGACTCTCTGACTTACCATGATATAGGAGGCATTGATGTAGTCTGTGCCTTCCCCACTCAGGGATGAAATGCCAACCCTCGATCTTTCCACTGGAACACAGAACACTCATTGTCAATGAACATGCTCACAGCACTGTACCATTCTTCCCCCACTGCCAAACGTAAAATAGAGCTGCTTTTATCAACCTGAAAGTCTGATCTGCAAGCTAATTTATCCATACACTTTGTACTCTTGGATGAGACTTCAAGGGTTTATGAGTCCTTTTTAACAGTTACATATTGGCCATACAGAAAAAGCTGAGTGTGGGCGGAGCCTGTGGGTCAGTGAGTGGGGTTC